ATTAAGCAAGGAGTAGCTGTACTTCAAATGATTATATAAAAGAAATAGCTTGCTCAGAAGCTGACAGGTTACAGGGCAATTTGGCTTTAGGCTTTTGGACTAAATGGAAAAGATGATGGTCGTTCATTTTCTTTCACTGGGTTTAAAAAAAACAGTACTGAGTAAAGAGTCTTTCACTTCAGGCTCACAGGATGGAAAGGAGCAAGGCCTCTTCCAACAGGAATCTCAACCTAAGCAGCACCTGGTCTAACGACCCTGTTAGCAAGCTCCAGAAGACTGCTGCAGAGGTGGCCCCAGGATAGAACGGGGCTGGAGATAAGACCTGGTGTCGTTTAGTGGTACATGACTCTTGGGGGGCTCACACCCACACTGAGAACCCACAGTCAGTTCCAGCTCAGCCAGGGAGAGCCCCAAAAACCCTGCAGCCAGGTGCCTTCTCCTGGGTGTGCGAGAAGAGCAGCTGGTTCTGACTGTACCAATCCTCCGCTGCACATACAACCAGCAGTGAACAGGACTTCCCCAGCAGATGCTGGCTGGTGTGCCGAGTTCTCACTGTCGAAGTGCTGATCAAGGGCCTCTTCAGTGACCAATCAACTGGAGCATCTCCTGAGGATCCACAATCTTCTCCCGAGGCTTGCCAGCCAGTTGGCCCCTTGCCATTTCAGCAGCATCTATCTTCTCCCAGTCTGAGAAGGACACCGGATGGACCCCTGATGTTACAAGAGGGAAAAACCACATATCAACCATCCCCAGACTAGCAGGAATTAAACACACAAGCAAAGAAGAAAAAACCAAAGCCTCCCACACCTAGGCATCTTCAGGCCTCAGCAGCACAAAGCCATAATTTCTACAACTGTTATAAGAGGGGCTCTAGAGATCTAGTCAAATCTGATTAGTCAGACCTTTTCAAGCCATAACAATATTCAGCACAGCACTACCTTAGGGAATGAAATGCCTCTGGTTCACTTTAATGTCTTCAACTGTTAGACAGAAGTGCGTGCTTTAATTGAAAGCCTTTAAAATACAGCAGTAGTGAATGACCCTCTCGGGTGTTTTAATCTATCCTCAAATTTGCCTGGAAGGATTGCTAAGAAAACGGATGAAGAGCAACAGTCTTGTTGTTTATGCAGCTGACAATGACATTTTATCCAAGGACTGCGCTACTTTTAAACAGGTCTTTCCTGGCAGCCACACCTCTCCTCAGCAAGTGGCTATTCACCTTGGCGATTACATCCAAGTTGAATTACGGTTCCCTCGCTCCCCGCTTGAAGTACTAAAAAGTTGGGGCACAACGTAATTTGTTACAAACTTTGCTCTAGCCTACGAGCTCTCTGCCAAGAGATGTTAGCAGGACTCGGAGCAGGATTCAACATTTCTATGGAAGTCAGAGAACCCGTTCACAAATTACGAGAGACAAGTTCAAAAATGAGAGAGGAACAGAAGCTTCAGGATGTACCCGCCACTAATGAGCAGGGCTGGGAAGGGAATACCCCTAGAGGCAGACTACCAGGGGGTTCCTAGCAGTTTCTGGGGTTGATAATGCCTAAAACCCTACAACTAGGACAGGGCTGAGGAAAAGGTCTGTCCCTGGAAAGACTCTGAGAAGAGGCTACAGCAAAGGGGGCAGACCCAGGTTAAGAGGACAGAAGGAAAGGGAAAATAAAAAAGGAGAGAGAGAGAGAAAGTGAGTTTGATTCTGCCTCAGTTAACAGGACCCTAGGAAAAGAGAGCTGGAAGGGACCTTGTGAGACCACTGAGTCCAGGCCCTTGCTCAAGGCAGAAGTATCCCTGACCAAATCATCACAGCCACACATTTATTTAACCTGCTCTTGAAAACATCCAAGAATGGAGAATCTGCAATTTCTCTACCTTGTCTATCCCAATGCTTGACCACCCTTGTAGTCAGAAAGTTCCTCCTAATTTCTAACCCAAGTTTCCCCTGCTCAAGCTTGAGGCCACTGGTCCTAGTCTTGTCACCTAAAAGAGGGGGTTCATAGGCAGCCTTGAACTCAACCCCTTCTACCTCCTAGCCCAACATCCAGCCCCAGAACCACCAAGCAGGCAGGTTTAAAGCAAAAACAAAAAAAGATGTAGACTGCTTTCAGGAGTGGACTGTGATCCCACGTCTATTGAAGAAAGACCTGAATGCAGTACCTTGGACAGCTCACCCATCCAGACACACAGGAGGACAGAAATGGGAGAGGAAGACCTGAACCCAGGACCAGGGACAGTCCATCAGGAAGTAGAAGCAGAATAGCAGGACTAGGCAGAAAAAAGGGATCGGAGTAGTACTTGGGAAGACTGTGGACCTAATTTGTGGCAAGCCTGCCAAAAAAGTTGACCCCCTACTGTTCTAAATCAATTCAGAAGTGGAGCAGATGGAGAAAACAGCAGCTACATTTCACATCTGTGAAACAAATTTGCACATCTCACACCACAACAGACAGGTAGTCCCATCACAGAACCCATCGATGTACACAGCAAATCTCGCAGGTAAACTCAGCAGACCACAAAGAATCCCACACTTGCGGGAATGGTTCTTCCAGCATAGGGTCAAGGCTTCATGCAAACACTGTATTGCTGGAAAGCTTGTGGAAGCATTGTTGCCTGATGACCTGGGACAGCCTGGACAATCTCAGTCCAGAGGACTGACTCTTCAAAGTTGCCTCAAAAAAAGCTTTGTATACAAGCTTCCATGTTCTATTAACACATGAAGAGACTAAGCTGAGCAGCAGTTGCTCATAATAGTACTTTTGGGCAATAAAAGCATTTAGCTTTAATTTCTCAATATTATGTACCACAAGACAGACTCTCGCATTACTGTCCCAGCAATTTAGATGGCATCAACAGGCATCACAATTTTCCACGCACTTTTTATTTAAAAAGGGGTGCGGGGGGTGCCTGGCAAAGAGTGACAGGTAGATAATAAAGAGACTTAAGAAATGCTTCAAAGGACTTCTAAATCAGCAGGCAGAGTCTGAACCAGAATTTAAAAGAACAAGTGGGATATGAAGGAAGAATTTAACCTTTTAGGTGCTCATGCAAAGGGAAACACCAAGTCGGGAGAAATTTGTGCTTCATGAGATTCTCCCTGCCTGCAAAATTCACTCCCAAATCAGTATGAGGCCAGGTGGTAGTCATCATGATGTTGGCTGGTTGAGAAGGTAGGGGAAGGTACAATGAATGGAAACAAGAACAAAAACTTTCCTTTTGTCCTCTTAGAACCTGGGTGTTAAGCTTTTAAGACAGGAATACAAAAAAACCCCTGCTGTCCAGTTCTCTCATGTATGATTTCCAAGAGGCTCTGTGGATTGAACATATACCCATTTCTATTTACACATCTAATGCCACCAAGTAAGACATGCACTTTGTTTTGAAAAAGCAGAATGAAGATGGAGATTTCCCCCTTTAACCAAATTGTTCAGAATCAGCTTCCTCATTTAAGATGCCCACCCCAGGTTTTGATCTATAATTTTCAGGAAAAAAGGTAAGTGTAGTAAACAAATGCATAACAGTGCATTTGTTGCCATAGGCTCTCACACCAGAGGTTGCCCATAAGCATGTCCACTGACCTCGACTGTGTAGGATGCTCCTCACAGACTCAAAGCCTTCCTTAGTGTTTGAAACGTTCAGCATCCCGGCCTGGAGGTCCTCTAGCACAGACTGGGCTGTGTCAAAGCTATCATTCATGGTGGTGATGATCACCCCAGTAGGTCCCCTTTTCACCCAGCCGCTGCAGTACAGCCCTGCAGAGCATTACACAAAAATCAGCCATGCCCCAATACACAGTCCCCAGTGTGCATACAGGGGCGTGCTCAGTTCCCCAGTACAAATGTCCCTTTGTGGGGAAGAGATGCAACACATCTCCCTATCTACTGATGTTTCACGTGGATAACTTCCTTATCTACTAAAGTTCCACGCCTCCTCCTATATAAAATTTCTCAGATTTAGACAGCCACTGCAGCCAAGAAAAAGAAAACAAACAAACAAACAAACTATCATTACCAAGCCCACCAAAGGGTTTGCTCAGTGGAGTTTACTTGGGGAGACCACCTTCCACACCATTCAAATACACTGCATCATCTCAGCAGCACTGCCCAAAACAACCCCTCCCCACTCCACCTGTCCTTCCCCAGTGCACAGCTATCAGTTTATAGCACTGGGATGAGCCTTAAAAAACAGCCACCACAGATGCTCTCTCATTAATAACCCCCCCGAGGCCTGGTAAAATGACTGCATCCCTCAGTGTCACTTGCTGCAAACATCTGAGCTATTAACATTATGAGCTACAAGACAGGTCTTATAACAACCATTTAAAATTTTCATGAACAGAACACAGCCAGCTCCAGTTACATTTTGGACATTTATAAGCAGTTTCTGTCAGAGAAGCTAAAAGGCTGCCCAAGGTGAGGTAGGGTGTCATGTAGGGAGCCCACAAACTAAGCCAGAGCAGAACAAGGGAGCTCAGGTCCCAGCCCCATTCTTTACAAACCAGACTCCCCCACCCTTCACTCACACAGACATCACAGCCCACTTGTACTCCAAACACCAAGGGTTAATACTGACCTGGGACCCCCTGAACCCTGCCCAGGTGGTTGGGGATGATCCCATGCTTGGGGTCAAATGGAACAGAAGGTCCAAGAGGAAGGCTCCTGTAGCCAATGCTACTGAGGATCAATCCACACTCAAGCTCCTCAACTTCTCCAGTGGGGACAGCTGTGGCCAACTCACCTGAACCCTGCACAGCCCAGGGAGGGAGAGAAAGGAGGAAGAGAGGAGAAATCAGAGTAGCCTTAAGACCCTCGACTGGATCTGTTACAAAAAACAGTGATGTTGCCAGTGAGTTGAGGAGGTGGAACAGATGCAGGAGATATAGGAGCATGTCCCACACTCATCTAGATCAGCTCAACACCAACATATAGAAAAATCTCCCTCTCTGTCACATTAGAAACAGCTCCTAGCTGAGAGGCAGCATTGGCTTCCCAAAACCTGCTATTTCAGATGCTCAGGTATCAGTCAGCTCTGCTGGCTCCTATTAGCCTCAAATTCCCTGCCTCTCTTTCAATTAGAGCTGCCCCAGGCTCTCCAGCCTCCTACTCACCTCCCAGCAATGCAGACACCCAGGCAAGGGAAAAAGCAAACACTCTAGGGAGAGAGAACTGAAAGTCCGTACTTCCAACCTGGTGACAGCCATACGGATCCCTCTTGCACGCTTCCCATCGGCAGTGGGCAGAATCTCCAGAGGACTGCGCAGGAACTTCAATCCCCACTCCCTGGTGGCTGATGCCCAAATCTTGGCCTCCTTCTCACCAGGTTTCTCCAGGGCTGTTTTGATCATCAGCTCAGTCAGCCGCTTCCTCGGTCTGGGGACATCTGAAAATTAAAGAGAGGACTGCAGGAGCATGAGGGACTCCAGACCATGGTCACTAAGAACAGGAAAGGAGGAAGAACTGTTTGGGCCTCTGGACAGTTAATCCTGAAGGAATGGAGGTCATCAAGCTAAGTCAGAGAGCTTGCTAGCCCATGGGTCAATTTAGGCCAAAGCCAATTCATACAGGTAGTTGTTGGGTGGCTGCATCCAGCACCTGGGACTTTTGAGACTGCAGCTCTTGGGGAATCTGTTCCAAATCCAAATTTGGAGGAGAAAGCCCTTGCACACTTTAACACACAACTCTTCTTTCAGTTTTAGCTTTAAAACAAGCTTCAGTATCAAGACTTGCACACCCCTATACGCAGTCAGAAACAGACACCTGGCCCTTCATGTCTGCTCACCACCCTGTCCTATGAAAGCTGAAAAAAAAAAAATGAAGTCAGCAGCATTCAGCCAGCCCCTATGCTGGGATCTCCAGGAACGCACAGATGTCCTTTTCTCTTTGCTACACTCCTGCCATTTTGGGAGCCTCTGGCTCCTGGCACACATTAGTTTAAAGGTATGATGGGATCTGATCCCCAAACCCAACCACTGTGCCTCTTCTCCAGCTATATGTGCATGGCAGAAGCTAATTTGGGGGTTAGATCCCAAACAGGGCCCTTTCTACTTGCCAGTGCAGCCAGCCCAGCATCATGATGATGGGTTCCCACTGCATTGGGAAGTTGAAAGCCAGATGTCCACACCCCAGTACATCCCAGTCCCAGCCCCAGGACCCACAATCAGCTATTAAAGATGAGCTACAGCAGCCAGGTTGAGACCCTGGTGCAGTCCTGGGGACAGAGCCAAGAATCAACTGGCCCGGGGGCAGCCCTGGACATGCCACACGTTCAAAATTAAAAGCACTGCACAAGACACTTTTGTGACTAGTTTGTATTCTACCTACAATATTTTTATAGTTGGTTTGCCATTTTAACACAGCTTAAATTGGCTGCATATGTAGTACCTTTGCCATTTATGCTGCAATTAACACCTTAATTGCACCATAAACATAACGTGTAGAGGGGCCCTCTGAAATAGTGACATTGCTGCCATTTCAGCCACCATGGCTCAGCCAAAAAGGCACTGGCATAACAATTAGGGCTGTGCAAAATTTCACTCGTTGTTTCGATTCAACACTGTTTTGATTAATCTCGAGCTCGAAACAGTGAGATTGAATCGAAATGAAGGGCTTTGAAACAGCCTTGGAACAAAAACGAGGCTAGTCGAAATGTTGAGTTTCGAAGCCAGCAGCGAGAGAGACAGGGGAGAACCAGGGCTGTGCTCCCAGCACTAGCTCAGAGCGCAGCCCTGGCTCTCCCCATCTCCTGCTGCTGGAAGCCCATAACAGCGCAGGTGAAGGGAATTGAGCCTGGGCTCAGTTCCCCACGCCAGCGCTCCAATCCGGGGGGGGGGGGGGGGGG